TGATTTCAATCCCTGGTACCAAATAAAATAAAATAAAAACCATCCAAGCTTTCCTCTCTTTGAGAGGATGCATTGGGACCGAGTACCCTTCTCCTTCCCCTATGTCATGCTGTTTCCCTAATTATAAATGAAACTAAAAGCTCACAGAGTCAGATAATGGGAGCTGAGGAATAATACAATTTTAAAAAGATCTTCCAAACTAGGAATCGTCACCATGAAGGTAATAGAGAAGGAAAATTGTCTCACTGAATAAGCACTCAACAGAAATGTAGTGTGCATCAAAGGCCACCCCTGAGAGATGACTAAGACAGACCAAACGTTCTCAGGGCTAATGATGACAGGTCAGTCGCCAAGTGAGAGCACTTGACGTCACACGGTGTTCGCAGACCAGCCTGGTGAGTGGGCTCACCATCTGTCTTAGTTGTCTTTATCCAAAGAAAACCAAACTCTGTCCTAGGACTGGGTAATTTTGCAATTTACAAGAAAGTTAGATTCCCATCATCCCTCTGAACCTGGAGACCCCACATTCTCCCTTATGATTAGATTTCAGAGATGGCTCCTTCATTCTGAAAAAGACATTCCAAGTCCCTTGCCAAAAATATTTATGTAAATCTCAGAGTCAGAGGAAAGAACTAAAATTATGTCTCCTAAAGTCAGTCCTCTAAGAAAAAAAGAATGAAGTCTCTCTTCTATTATTTTCAATGGAGAGAATTCAACCCCTTTTATCCTTATTTTTCTCATTTTCCTCCCTTTTCTTTCTTTTTTCTTTTGTAGTACTAGGAATTGAACCCAGAGCCTGAGCTACATCCTCAACCCTTTTTAAGTTTTGAGACAGGCTCTCACTAAGTCTCTACCTTAAGCAGACTGGGTTTAAATCGATCATCATCCCGCCCCAGGCTTTAGACTGCTGTGTTTACAGGAATGGGTCACCATACCAGGCTGGGGAACAAACTCAGAGCCTTGAGCATGCTAGTGAGTGCTCATGAATGAGCTACACTCTCAGACCTTTATGCCTTTTATGTTTTATATTTCTTTTAGAGACCTAAGAAGTGGCAGAAAGGACTAGATCTCCATCACCTGCTTGGGGACTTGCTTGCCTTGACTCAGGTACCAAGGCAAGAATTGTATAACCTGGGTTCCTGTCTCCTAATGTTGAAAAATAAAATCAAGAACAAAAGAGGTAGACAGGAAGAATGTGTGTTAAGAAGAGAGAAATAGCTTTTAAGAGGGAATCTGAAAGTGAACCCACTTTCAAGGAGACTCTTTGTCTGGAAGTTTTTATAAAAATGACCAGAGCTCAGAACACTCTGACTACTAAAACAAACTCATTTTTTGTTTGTTTGTTTGTTTTTGAGACAAGGTCTCACTTTGTAATTCAGATTGGCCTTGAAGTCACTATCTAGGTCGGGCGGGCCTCAAATTCATGACAATCCTTCTGCTCAACTTCCAGAGTGCTAAAATTATAGGCATGCACCACCATGCCCAGCTTAAAACCAACTTACTTAACTAGAAATGGAGCTACTAGGAATCGAGGCAGGTAGTGAGTATATGTCTCTAGGTGTCTCTTGGCCTCGATCCTCTCTAAGTAGTTTATTAACAGAACAAAGTGAGGAAAGATGGAAACATGTTTTTCAGATCTAGGAGCAGAAGTTGCCATAGTGGGCATCCATCACCTGTTATCTTGCTTGTCACATCCTGGACCTCATTGTCTTTCCGGTTTTGGTTAACTCCTGATCTCAGCCTCCTACTTACCCAGTTACGGCCTGATCACCCTGACCTACCTTGGGCCTGGCCCTTCCCTAGCTGTCTGCTATCTTCTGCCTAATTTACCTGCTTATAATAGCTGCATGTACTGAACGATTTAATCTCATGATTCCTGTTAGATTTCTGGTCTGGTGATTGGTGCCCTCTTACCAACCCCTCTCCTTCACAGATTAATGAGTAACTCTGAGTATAACATGTTCTAGAAGGAGTATGTATGATTTTTTTTGTTGTTGTTGTTACAAAAGGAGGCCCAAGGTAGAGATTTGTGCTGCCATGGTGACTCTCAAGCCAATGAGTCTCTTGGTTCTCATTTTTGGATTTTATTCAGAGGACCTGGGGACTCCCCACTGTGATGACCAGTTCCTGGGCTTTAATTAGTTACTCATTATCCATCCAGGAATTTAGTGAACAACTTTCAGCGTCTCCTATTATTTCAGGCTTTGAAAAATTTCAAAGGGATATAAGACCCGTCATCACTGGGAATTCATATCATCGCAGTCAAGGCAAGATGCTGGGCACTAAGAAGTAGAGCATGAACCATCAGCCCCACAGGACATCAGAGGAAATGACAGACATGGGCCAGAGCTTCCTGGAAGTACAGCCAACTTCCTGGAGAGGTGGAACCTGAGTGCCTTTAAGTGGCGTGGCTAGGATTTCAACAGGAGATTGAAGGGCAGGAAAGCAATTTAAATATATGGAAGAACAAGGGTTTTTTTTTTTTTTTGTCTTTTTCCAACTGCCTGCTTGCAAGGCAGGTGCTTATGCTGCTGAGCTAAATCCCCAGCCCCCAGAGATTTCCCTTAAGTGATGGTCTCTTACAAGATTTCTATCATCACGATGGTCACTACAAGAGCTGCCCACCTTACTTGAAAACTTGATAGGCCAGAGCGCATGGGCAGGGGACATCAGAAATCCCTGGAGGGTACACAGGGCCTGTATGTACACTGTTCAGGCTAATGTTTCAGAAACCAATGAGTTCAAGGCTGGCAAAGCTGCTGGTGGACTCTGAGGCTGTCAGATCTACCTTCCACCCAGAGAATGACATGTTCCTATCAGCTTGATGGAGTGATCTGATATTCTGTCTCTACAAGGTGGACCAGTAGGGAGTTATGCTTAACACTAGGCATTGTTCTTGTGATTTTCTGCTCTTGTTACCCTTCCCTGGAAATCTTGTTTGAGGGGTTTGATGAGAGTGTTCCAGGCACCTGAGTTAGGTAGAAATATAGGCCAGTCAGACAGGGCCAGGCCCTCAAAGGAGCCAGAGCAGAAGTTTAGATACCTTGCAGCCTTAGAAGAGACAATCACCTCCTGCTGGGGGCCAGATCTCAACACAAAAGGCAAAGCAAATACAACCACATCCTAAAGATCCACAGTCCAAATAGGTCTCTGTCACCCTGAGGAAGTCAAAGTCGCATCCCACCCTCCTCCAGGAAGAGTTCCTGCTGTTAAGCATGCCCGCTTACTATGTGACTTGCTCGCCCATTTGCTCCTCATTTAATCAATTTTACCTGAGTAATTAATCTTACTGGTTGACCACAGTTCTGTCCCGCCTGATGCCCACTTTGCGAGTTCCACGTTTGACTCATCTAACCTCATGATTTTATTCTATAAAAGTCCCTAAAAAAGACAAAGTCCCTGACAACCCAATTGAAACCCTTCTGTCTCAGACAGAAGCTTTCTTTCTCTTAATAGACATACTCCACTCTTAACCTCCGCTGCTCCTAAAATTCATTCTTCGATTTTAGAGAACACAAACTCACACTGGACATAAAGTAGATCAAGAGTTTTATTCCCCTATATCAAAAAAAGATTCTTGGGGCTGGGGATTTAGCTCAGAGGCATAAGCACCTGCCTTGCAAGCAGGCAGTCGTGAGTTCGATCCCCGGTACCGATAAAAATGAAAAAGAACAAAAAAAAAAAAAAAAAAAAAAAAAAGATTCTTGAGGCTTATTGAGACCAACCTAATCTGCTTTCAATGATTACTATGTGCCTCGTAGGGTCAGCAAGGAAACTGGCCTGGCTGAAGCAGAGGAATTTTCAAGGGTACAGGGGAAAAAATGACATTAACATGATGCAGCATCTGTGGTGACGGAGTGCAGACCAGTGCTGTCAACAGTGTGGGCCTAGGCCCAAAGATACCACTGATCTTCCTCTAATGATGCCCACTTTCCTGATCTCTTCACTCAAATGCTGCCGAGCTATCTTCCTCAGTGCATGTCTAACCATATCATCCTCTTGCAGCAGTCTGAGAAGACTCCTGGTCATATAGTAAAACAAATCCAGGGCATCTAGCAATTATAGTAGATGGTTTTCCCAATACAAAGTCAGGGAAATAGTAAACTAAGCCAGGTATGGGGGTACATGCTTGTAATCCCAGCACTCAGGAGGTTGAGGTAAGAGGATTGTCATGAGTTTGAGGCCAGCCTAGACTACATAGTGAGTTTGAGACCAACCTGGACTACATAATGAGTTTAAGGCCAATAAACCCTTACATAGGATGACCCTGTCTCAAAAAAAAAAAAAAATCAGTAAGCTATAAACAAAAAGTAGATTTAAAATTTTCTAGTGTATGCCACCTTTGAACAAAAGAAACTTCTCTGGTAGAAGAAATGAGCCCATAGCAAAAGTAGGAAGCCTGGAGTCCATGGAGATTTTGGATCCATACTGAAGTTCTTGGGCCCCACAGAGGTTATGAGTCCCATGTGGACCCAAAACAGTGGCCATTGATTTGCTTGGAGGAGAGATGTTAATCTGAGTTCCATAGAAAAAATAGCAGCATCAAAAATATGTCTCTGGGAGGATCATTGAGAGTTCAGACCAGCTTAGGCTACAAAGTGAGCTCAAGGCCAGCCCGAACTGCATAGAGAGACCCTATCTCAAAAAAAAAAAAAAAAATAGATAGATATGCCTCTTCCTTAAAAGGAGATTAGGAAATGCTATCCACAAACTCAGGGAACTATGAAGAAACAAATTATCTGTCTTTGGTCACAGATGCCAAGGAGATGAAGGAACATATCAGTCAGAAATAGAAATGGACCCTCTGGAGTCTGTGCATGGAATGAGATCAGAGTTCTGATTTTTTTTTTTTAACAAGGTCTCACTATGCAGTTCAGGCTGATCTTGAACTTAATATGTAGCCAAAGATTGCCTTGAACGCATGACAATCCTCCTGCCTCAGCCGCCCAGGTACGAGGATTACAGGCATGTACCACCACATCTGGCTTCAGGGTCCAGACTTTCTTTTTCTTTTTTTCCATTTTGGGGGGCCTAGGGATCCAACCCAGGACACTGTGCATTCTAGGAAAGTGTTCTGTCTCCTGCTCCAAAGACCAGATTTATACTGCCTGTGAAGTTCAGGAGCCCAAGAAGGGAAACAATATAATATCCAGTCTAGGGCTGGGAATTTAGCTCAGCAGCATAAGCACCTGCTTTGCAAGTGTGAGGTTGTGAGTTCGATCCCTGGTACAAAAAAAAAAAAAATTAGTCTAAAACAATTGAAGTCTCTGGGATCTCAGTTGTTTTTTGGTTTAATGCAAAATGGGTTTAATCTCTAGGACTGCAAGAAGGAAAAAAGAAGAAAGAAAAAGAAAGAAAAAAGTAAGGGAGGGGAGAAAGAAAAAAAAAGAAAGAAAGAAATGAAAGGAAAAAGAAACAGACAATTCTTTTTTTTTTTTTTTTTGTCTTTTTCGTTTTTATCAGTACCAGGGATCGAACTCACGACTGCCTGCTTGCAAGGCAGGCACTTATGCTGCTGAGCTAAATCCCCAGCCCCAAAACAGACAATTCTTTAGAATCAATATCACAACTTAAGAAGTCATAAGAAAAACAGATCCTACTGACGATGAGCTCATAAGAAGTGACTTTGTGTGAGGAAGCAAACCTTCCCGAACCGGAGCCAGCAGAGACCTAGACCAGGTACTTGGCATCTCAAGGACTGCAGATACAGAATGACCTGAAAGAACCTGTAACTGAATTCAGATCTAGCATCTCAAACATCGAACCCGATGGCTCAGCCTCCGCCTAGCTTTTTCTTCTCATTGATGGCATCTGGTTCCTCCTGTCATACAGGCTCGAAATTCTAAGTCATCTTCAAGGTCTTTCTCTCTGGACTTCTTCCCTGAGTTACTGTCAGGAACTCAGTTTTATCATCTCTTCCTCTTTCCCTCTCCTCTCTATGCAGCTCAGCCCCTGCTGTTCCAGCCTTCTTGTCCCGAGAGTGCCCTCCTCCTCTGTTCTTCCTCCCATGCTGGTAAACTCCATGATTTCATATCCCTGAACCAAACTTCTGTAGTCAGAGCAGCCATCCCCAACGTGACCTAAACCTCCTTTTCCGGTTACATTGCCCTTTCCCGGCCCTCACCCAGCCTCCTACTCCTGGCACAGCAGTTTAGTAGTCCTCCCCACACCCGCCCCAGGGCTTCCCAGCAGTCTTTCCCCTCTGACTAGGATGCTCCTCCAGCACGCCTGCCAACTGAAGGTCCAGCCTCGCTTAAGCCTTCTAAAGACATGATGTCACAGAAGAACACATGCATCAGGGCTAGACACAGCTTGTTTCCAATTCCAGTTATGTCACCTAATAGCTCTGTGCCTTAAGCAGCGAGAAATCATGAGCTCGCTAAGCCTCTGTTTCTAATTATATAAAATGAGAATATACCTGCTTTGCAGAGTTGTGAGAAGTGGGGCTGGTCTAAGCCTGAGCACAGAACCCAGCCCCAGTCCTTGGCTTCTCTAACACGAGGCCCCTGCTCATTCATCTTTGCATCAGCAGTGTCTAGCACAGGAAGACTTGAAACACGGTGACTGATAAGAGTCAGCAAGAATCAGTCACGCAAAACTGCTGGGGGGAGGGGGAGCTGGCAGGTCTGCAGTTAGGAGAGCACCAGGGCCAATTTGTATTCTGTTACTCCAGGAGGACAGAGCCATGAGCAGCAGCTACACAGAGACTGATTTTATTTCAGGAGAGAAAGGACTAACTTTTAGTGCTGTATCATTGAGAACAGGTGTCAAACATAAACCCTTTGCCATTAAAAAATTACTCATATTGCATAAAGTGTTCCCAGGTTGGATGAGAGGGGTAAGATTAGATCCGTGATTCTTAATTTGAGGGGGTCCCAGGTATCTTTGAAAGCCGCCTTCTTTGGGAAAAGGGCCAAAGCATAATGTTTTGCACATAGTGCAGAATCTTCACACAGATCCTCAATAACAATCACCTGAAAACCCTTCTAAGGATACTGTCTGTGTTCCACTGTCCAATTTACTATGAATAATCATGGAGAGAGTCTTGTTGTCATCCTTATCTTCAAAGTTCACAGCCTTTTTTTTGTTTTGTTTTGAGCAGGGGCTCAGACTCATGACCTCACGCTTGCCAAGCAGGTACTCGTGCTGCTGAACTAAATCCCTGGCCTGAGAATTCACAACTTGTACAAAACACCAAGTCCACATCTAAATATTTGGTGCCTTTGGCCACAAATTAAGCATTCTACATGCTTTTTGATGGTGATTAAATGAATGAAATAACCAAAAGCTCCTTAAGGAAAGATATGTGCCATAAGAGAAAAGAGAAGGAAAAGAAGCAACTAAATGAAGCCGGTGGGGGAGACCAGCGAGAATGAGAAAGGCTGGGAAAGTAGTCAGGGTTAGAGAGGAGGGTGAACTTTGAGAAGTCTTAACTCCCAGCATCCTTGGCCAGGACCCAGCATCCCAGGGACCCTCTCAACTGTAGATTATGTGGGAGAAGACCTGTTCCCCCTCCTGTCAGCCTGATTATGCCAGCCCCTGCACATTTCCAGAAGCCACCAGGGAAAACCATTCACAGTGACGTGACTGTGAGCACGTCCAGAGGACACTCAAAACTGATTCTGAAACTTCTTTGCCTTTGTGAACTTAGGTTTCAATTTACTGCGTATGTAACTTTTATTGCTCCATTTATACTTGGTGGTGATTAAGTGCTTTAAGTTTTTTTTCTTAGAATATTATTATTCAAAGACTATTTGATTTCCAGCATAAACACTACTAAGAATAAAACCCAAGAAGAAAATACCTTGCCTAAAACAGAAAGGTGTTTTTGTTTGTTAACCTGAGTTGAATTTTCTCAAGGATTAGCCAGGCCTTTGGGTTCACATGGGCAGAGATAAACTTATCAGTCCTGGTCAGGATTTCTTGCCCTCCCTCCCCTGTGGGCTCTCAGGTGGAGACAGCCGTGGTTGTGGCTTTTCTGCAGGCTCCGCAGGCTCTTCAGAGCCTCGGGCAGCCCCTGGCCAGTGATGGCACTGCAGGCCAGAAGCTCCCAGCAGTGATCCTGGAATCTCTCCAGCCCCAGCCTGTTCCTAATCTCCAGCAGTGGAAGAGCATCAGATACATCCTGCTTGTTGGCCAGCACCAAGAAAGGTACATCGACCATGTTGGGGTCTCTAAGGATATTCGTGAGCTCTTCCATTGCCTCCGGCAACCGGGCTGCATCTGTGCTGTCCAGCACATACACAAGGATATCGGTGCCTTCCAGGTAGTCCTTCCAGCTGGGCCTGAGCTGGGCCTGCCCCCCGACATCCCAGAGAATCAGAGGTGTGTATCCCAGAACTTCAAGAGCCTCCACGTTGAAACCGATGGTAGGTACCGTCTTCACCAGCTGGTAGCCCTTCAGTCTGTACAGGAGTGTGGTCTTGCCTGCTGAGTCCAAGCCCATGATCACCACCTGGACTTTTGTCTTGTGACCTCTGGAATTCACAGAACCCATAGTGGCCAAAGCTGAATCCTAGGAGAGAAAGGCCAGAAGCACACATCAGCTAATTGTTTCTGGAAGTACACAGACCCACGCAGGCTCCTGGAAGAGCATGTGCTCCAAAACAGGGCCGATCTTTCCAGGATCAGGATTCAAACCCAGCCCCGGCTCTGAAAGGGCCGAGATGAGAGGGAGTGTGAGTCACCACCAGCTGACCGACCTCTGGGACCCACTGCAAGAAGAGCAGAGCGTGGGGCCTCCTGGAAGAGGAGTTGGGAGAGAAGTTCACTTTCCTTAGTGTTAAAGCGAAGAGGCAAAATGAAGTTACACTTAGTCCTACCCAGCTCAGTAGGTTCTGCAGAAAGATGTCCTCAGTTTGTGCTAGCCGGCAGCCTCTGATCTCTGTTTGCCTCCCTAAGTCTAAAACAGGAAGTGGCAGCCACACTGGGTCTCGGTCAGTGCTTGTGCAACCCCTGCAGCCCTGAAACTCCCCACAGTCTGGCGTGTTGTCCTGTTCATGGTGGCAGTGCTCAAGCAAGGTTATAAGTGGGGCGAGTGGTTTCCTCCACTGTTTTACCAAAGTGAATGTCCTCCAGAATGCTCCATGTATTTTTAAAGAACCCTATGCCTAAATTTTAAGGCATAAGACCTTTTTTCAATTTAGGAGAAACCTGGGGAAGGCAGAAAAGGGACATCACATCTCCAAGAGTGTGTTTCAGATGCCCCTAGAGGAAAAGAAGCCTCTGTCCACTCTCCTTGCCATGACAGAAGTAAGACAATTGAACTTACCTTGGTGCTCCGGTTAGCCCGCGGCTGGCGCTCCTCCTCTGCAGCTCTCTCCTGTCACAGGGCTGCTTTCTGCTGGTCAAGCATGTCCCAAGAGTGAGGCAGGAGGAAGTCCGCTGCCTGTTGCAATTTCTCTTTTATGCTTTTTTCCCAGATAGTTGGAGGCGGGGGCTGAGGAGTGGGTAGGGGTGGGACACCGTCCTCTAAGGAGACGTCACAGAGGCCGTCCAGCTCCTCAGTCTTGGTGGAGCTGGGCCCAGCATCAACTCCATCAACTCCCATTTCTCAGCAGCTCAGCCTGGATCCCCCAAGGGGACTGTACAGGCGTGGAACTGTGCCCACGTTCCACTGCCTTTTTTTTTTTGCTCTTCCTCTCATAATCCTGTTATCTTCTTGGGGAATAATTCTGAAAATCAGACCTTTTAGCACATGCATAAATGTTTTTCTCATGCATGGAGATTTATTTGCTTGAAAGCGTGAAAATTGTCAAAATCAAGATATATTGCTTTTGTCAAGCCCTCCCCCAAAAGATAAACAAAGAAGGGGATCCAAAGCCCTATGTCTGATAAGAACTATTCACAAAAGATGCTGCCTGCACTGTAACTTTACATAAAAATGCTTTTTCAAGGATATCTGCCCAGCAACTGTATTTTTTTTTGCCGCAAATTACTTTTTATTTGCAATACATGATTTTGCACACTTTTACTAAAAAACCAAATAGATTTCTAAACATGAAATAAATTTCTTGTATTACAGATAACTTACACACTCTGCATAAAGTAAATGCTCCAGGTGCTAGAACAGATCATCCACTCCTACAGTGTTTTTTTCAATTTTATTTGAAAAACGATAAAACTAAGGAAAATAAAACAAAAGAAAACCAGTAAAAAATAAACCAGTTTAAGTGATACAGGACTTCAAATCCTTACGAAACCAACAATAGTAAACATAATACCTTTTGTTGTCTTCCAAATAGCTTCAGATACTTTCGGACATAGTAAAAATTGAACAGATCAGAATAGAATAGAATCAATAAAGCCAAAACAGTGAGTGTAATAAAGGACTTCAAAACAGGCTACTAGTGAATCCAAAATGGCTACCATAATATGTCTTGTTATCTTTCAAATAGCTGCTCCTGCCATCTGATTTAATATAATCAAACAAAACAAAAGAGAATAAAACCTAACCCAACAAAACAGTGAAGATATGGTTTGCCTGTCAGGATGGCTTCCTGGTGAGGCCTGAATCCTCCACCCACAAAGTCTGGGAATGCTTAGACTCAGGGAGAGAAGCCTGGGTGTGGCTGCCCCCACTTGAGCAGCAGCCAGGGCGAGCTGCTGCTCTCCAGGAGGGGCCCACAGTGTTTTTGCATCCAACAGAGTTGAAGCACGATATAATAAATACTGAAGTTCAATATTAAAAAGTCGGGCAATTGTCTAATAAAGTTTTTCAATACATCTAAAGTACATACGCATATTTTTAAGAAAGATGATTCTTAATAATTTCTCTATACAAACAAGTTTGATGATTTGGTTCGTCTAATTTCACTACTATGAATACGAACTTTTAACGTGTGGTAAGGTATATTCTACCTTTTTTTTCAACATGACACCAAGAGAATCAAAAGGAACTAGAGGTGCTAACATGTGAGAACTAATCCAGCGATTCCAGTCACCGTGCATTAAGGAAGGTACCATGTCACTGAACTGAGCGATGTGGTTTGTCCTTCCTTCCCTGGCGGGGATAACCAAATGGAGCAGGAGGAGGGTAGTGACTCTGTGACCATTTCCCTGGACATCCCTGGCTTTTCCTGGGCAAAGGATACCGCATTGGAAGAGGTGGGAATACCAGCTCTGAAGTCCGGTGCGCAGGGTGCGGGGCTGCCGTCAGCAAACTGTTTCAGTTCTTCTTCCCCTTGTCCTTCATCTGAAGAGGACCCTGAAGGGTGTCAGAGGTGCCCTGCTCAGGGGCTCGGGAAACTTTCCTAGAGAATGCGCGGCTCCCAGGGACAGCACACCTCACAGGGGCGCACCGCGGGGAGCCCCTGGCCAGCCCAGGCCGGGCTCTCAGATCAGCTCTGGAACCTAGAGAATGCATCCTAGGCCTGTCCTTTGGATGGGTTTCTAGATCCCAGTGTTTTTTGTATTTTTCTTGAAGTATTAGAGTCAGTTTTTCAGCAAACCTCTCAACTGGCTCTTTTTTTCAATTTACCAAGTTTTCTAATTAGCCTTGTTTAAAAAAAAAAAAAAGAAAAGAAAAAAAGAAAGAAGGGAAAGGAAATTTCTGTCTTCGTTTTTCCCGCCTGCGCTGCAGCTCGCCGGGCTTGCAGGCGGCCGGGCTGTGAAGGGAGGCTCCCTGCGGGCGACACTGCGGGCGGAGCGCTGCCCGCGCGTGGGGCTGGCGTGGGCCGCTGCAGAGCGCGCGGAGAGGACGGCCTGCGGGGGTGGGGGTGGGGAGTTACTTATTTATTTATGGCTTTTTGAGCCAGGATGTCACTATGTAATTCAGGCTGGCCTTGAACTCACTATGTGGTTCAGGCTGGCCTCCAACTCACAGCGATCCTCTTGCCTCAGCCTCCCAAGTGCTGGGATTATAGGTGTGCGTATATGCTTTAAAACACTCCAAAAATAAGATGTTGAAGGTAAATCATAGAAAGTTGTGTTAACGTAGAACTACGGGCAATTAAAATGATTATTTCTTTGAATGATTAATTATTTCTTTAAATGATGCCTCCAGAAAATATACTTAAAAAAAAAAACAAAAACTTGCTAGTCAGAAGCCATTGTGAGGAAAAGGAAAAGGATACTTTTCCTGGCCTTTAGCCCCAAGCACTCCACGGGCAGCCAGTGGGGGATTTGGGGACCCCTTTGTGATACTGGTTGTGAGGTCTTGGTAGGGTTTTGCCCTCAAGAGTCTAGATGGACATTTGGGAAAGATGGGGACCACTATTGGGAATTTCATACTCTCCCTCATACAAGGACTTTCTGGAACCGAGGTCCAGTCTTAGGTGAAAAAGATGAGAGCGGAGGAAACTGGTTACTTGGACTTTGATCTGAGTTCATCCAAAAGGCCTGTGGCCTGAGATACTTTGTCGATTCAGATCTCCACCCCCTTAAGTAAAAAAAAAAAAAATGATTAGCCACCCCCACATGGGGCGCATTGGGAGGGCTGCTTACCCCGGAGGTGACACCAGAGTAGATAGTAACTGACCATCAGGAGGGTCACTTGGCCTCCACTTCGTGTTTGCTATGTCACCTCAAACATGTTGCCAAGTTTCTTGAAATCTCACTTACTATCTTTATAAAAAGTGGTTGATTGCTATAATAATGGTACCAAACTTGAAGGGTTTCTAGGATGATTAAAGACATTAAAGCTCATCAAATACTTATTCCAAAACCCAGCACTTAGTTCTGGCTGCTATTATTCAAGAAGGAAAAGACCTTGCAAGCAGGTGGTCGTGAGTTCCATCCCCGATACCGATAAAAAAAGAAGGAAAAGAAAGCCATCAAAAGTAATGGTGTGGCTAGAGAAAGCGGCACGCGTGGAGCATGAGCACATTTGTGGGCTTATGACTGCATCTGCAGTCATAAGGAAAAGGAGCTATGCAGGGTTTTTCTGCTTCATTTGGATTATTTTTGCTGGCTAGCTTGTCAGAGTTGGGATTTCTGGGACAAAAGGAAAGAACACAATGGTTTGCCTAGATGTTTCAAAATACTATGTTGCATTCCCAATTATCTTTTGATGTTATGTGTTTATTTTTAATTTTTATTTTTTTCTTTACAAGCTGTACCTCTTAGCTCCCCCCCAAAGCACCATGGGGAACTCTTCAGCACTCAGTGTGGAGGTAACAGTTGGTTGTATTTTTCCCAGGCCACTGTTGCAGGGAGAAAGTACCAGGTCCCATGAGAATCATGAGAATGACAGAGTGAACATGCCCTGTTAATAATTTTTATTTTATTTTTGTACCAGAGTTTGAACTCACCATCTTGCGCTTGCCAGGCAGGCACTTACACTACTGAGCTAAAGCCCTGGCCCTGTTAAGAATTTTTGTATCATGGATTTTACTGATTATGACATTATTATGATTATTGAGTTCCTTTAAGTTATGCATTTTGTTATTCCATTTCCTCTTCATACCTACCCTGCTGAGTAGGTGTTATTACCATCATTTCATAAAGACAGTGCTGAGGATCAGTGAGGTAAAATATGTTTTCAGTAGGAAGTTACCCAGCATTCAGCAGCAAGTGCAGAAATCAGTTTATCTAGAGGACAGTAAGTCTGCAGAGAGGTCGTTCCCCAGGGGTTTGTAGCTTAAGTGTCGTATCTTTCCATGTTTTTCATCAACATCATCAGCACATGGAGGATGTTCCCTCCCATGATGCAGTAACACTGAGCATCTTATCACCCTCACACCACCAACTTCAAATCAAGAGGGGAAAGATGACAGTCTTCCGTGTGTTCTGTGTGAATGTGTGTGACACACTGAAAGGAATTCTAAGAGGGAAGTTTGTAACTGTTAACGCACCATTACAGGAACTGAGTAATCACAAATAACCTAAAGATGTATCGCAAGGCCCTAGAAAGTCAAGAGCCACTCAAATGTGAAATTAATACAAGGAAGAAATTGTGAAGATCGAGCAGAAATTAA